TCTACGTCGTACATTTGCATTGGCATTGGTATCTGGGAAGAGGAAAAAAAATAAAGTCGAGTATAGATGTGTAATAGCATCGTGTGTATAAATGTGTATGTGTGTGTGTGCATTAGTGTACACGTTCAGTGTGACGATTTTTTGTGTGTAGCGGCGTTTGAATCGAAATCATTTTGCTTTGCTTTGCTTTCTTTCGGTCTTCCGAGTTCTCGTGTTATGTGTGTGGCAACAAAATAAGCGCTCAACATTTTAACCGCAACGTGGCCGACAAGTTAGAGTAGAAAAAAGATTCTGTGATTCTTTTGCTCTTTCTCTCTCTTTCTCTCTGTACCATGGAATGTCACTTAAAATTAGAAGTTTAGAGATGAATCGGATTCTGGATATTCTCGTTGGTTGACGAACCAAGAAAAAAAACATTGCCTTGTCATGAAAGTGGCTTGCGCTAGGAAAGCAAACACAAATAAATAAATCCGAAGTTATCTCTACATTACTTTTTTTTTCTATTCTAAGTTCAATAGACTAAGAGCCAGTGATAGTAGACTATCACCTCATAAAATTCCTGGATCATAGTACTAATAAAATGATTTAGTCAACATAACAAACAAGAAAGTATTTTAGAGCACAAGAAAAAAAAATATGTCCTTCTTATTAATCCGCGCTCCTGGATATTTACCAAAAAACATGACAATAAAAAATTAAAATTCCCGTATGATATTTTTACAACAAGTTTATTGAGGTAAAAAGAGCACAAATTCAAAATATCCGCATTTAATTTTTTGTCTATACATGTGAATTTGAGCTGATTCTGTTTAGCTGGTCCGAGCCTCAAATTTGCTTGGTTTTGACAGCTGTATTGAACACACCCATCCTACCAATGTACAATATACATATATGCCGAAACCTGTACGTTCTTGTTTTCTTACTGCGCACTACTTTTCTACGGTGAAGCAGACTGCTTTGTTGATGTGTATAACAATACGGGTAAAATACCGGCGCTCCGAGGTTTTCATACAAACTTCCCATGTAGACGATCCGAAACAGGCAAAAATCGAAAAAAAAGTTTAAATTTTTTGTTTCGATTCTCATATAGTACTTTTTTTGCCCAATCCATTGGTGCTATCGCCACATCGAAATTCGGGCTCCTTATCACTTAATTTGCATCATGTGATAAATGCGAGTGACGTCATCAATAGCTCGGGAATCAATTGAAATGAAACACACGAAAAAATATTCGAGTAACGAAACAATGTGATATAGATCCAGTGATATGACACAATGCGAGAAGATTCGTTCATAACGACACTGCAGACAAAAAATCTATCAAAACGGAACACCGCAAAGCGAAATACTTAAAACGGCACATGCTATGTTTTATTCTTACGGATTTCTTTTCCATGTTCCACTTTAATGGATTGCTTTATTTTTGTTTCGTATCTGTGTATTGAGCGACGAAAGTCTCATTTTCATTTCAACCGCATCATTTATAATGTTCTTTGCATCAACTTTAATTTTGTAAAACGAGCAATTTTTCAACTTTCGTTTCTGTTTATAGCGCCAATAGGAAATCCAAGTCCAACTCCTGTACGAAATCGTCGACCAAATCGCAGGCCAATTAGTAGACGCCTCGAACGATTACAGTTTCGGCGCTTTTGGCGTAGAAAACTTCGTAATCATGTATCTATCACCAACCTCCCTAAAATAGAACAAGCCCGTTTCTTGGCTACTCTTTCACAAGAATGTCTCGATGCCTGGAAAATTCGTATCGCCACAGAGAGAGCCCGTGTCGATTGCAAAGAGGAATTGATCCAAGTTTACGAGGAAAAAATTAAATTTTTTACGCTGATGATTCAAAAAAATCTAAAACGGATTCAAAATATTCAAACACAAGGCTGGGCGAACAGAAAATAAAGAAATCAAACGAAAAATTTCCGTGTTTTTTTTTACCATTATTGCATTTTTTCTTCTTTTAACAACAGAAAAATATTAGTAAGAAGGTTTTAGAACGCAGGATAAGCGAAAGACGCTGCATCAAAATTTGGTGGCAATTCATTTTTTCTATTCTTTATCTTCTTCTTCTTCCTCACTTTCGTAAGCTTCATTGTCACTGGTTTCCATTTCTTCAAATACATCGTCTATTCCAACCTCGTCAGGAGGTTGTCCAGGAGTAGCTGCCATTTGTTGTACCGGCGTAGGAACAATTATTGGTGCTGCTGGAGGTGGTCCAGGTATTCCAGCTGGAGGTTGGACCACAACGTGTGGACCTAGCAATGCCATCGGGTCTACCGGCAATATTGGCGGGTGATTCCTGCGTTGTGCATTTGCATTGGCATAGGGATCTGGGAAGAGGGAATTAAAATAAAGTCGAGTATAGATGTGTAATATATATTCGCGGTTCCTTTCCATCCAATGGGGATATCTTGTCACGCGAGCTCGATAGAGGTGAGAAGCCCACGGGTTGCTGGAACCACCATCTAGCGGAAAATTTTCGAAATTCGACAAAAACATCCATGCGATGGGCGTAACTACTCCCTTTTTTTTTGCCTTTTAAATCTACTTTCATCGTATTCCCCCCTATGCCATCCTTCAATTTTTCCGCTGTTTTGAAGTCCACCGACGATATATGTATAAAATTCGTCACACATCATGACTTGCTTCCCTGGGCAATCATCGAAATTAAACTGACAGTCATCGAAATTAAACCGACATGGGGGTTTACGCTTCCGACATTCATAAACAAGTACATAAGTGCACCAAAGAAATACGATTTGCCGGAATCTGGCTCCCCGACTACTTCATAGCCGCCTCTCTTGTCGTCTTTCCGCGAGATGAATGCAAATATCTCCATGACGATTGATGTCCAGCGTATGCCGAATTGAAATTTCAGATATTTTATCAAGTTAATCGAGCTTTCATCAATCGTCATAAATTTGATGGTATGCACATTCGATCGGAAGAGGAAGTTCTCAGGCTCTTCGGCTTCTGCCAGCTTTTCCAAGTACTCTGGGCACGACACGAACTCCCATTGTTCCTGGAATTTGGCGGCGGCTATTTTGAATTGTTCGGAATGCGGGCCGCAATTGTCGATGAAAATTGACTCTTTCCATTCCGGGAGGCAGCAAACATTCTCCACCGGAATGGGCATATAGGTGTTGAATATTTTTAGCTGCGCCTGCACAATTTCCGGCATTGGTTCCGATAAAATTTGTATGCTCTTTTGGGAAAAGCAATGCCCGGAGAAAATGTCGTTGACATCAGTCGAACAGAAGGTCGAAGAATTGGCCTCCTGGTTCAGCTGGACTTCCGACATGTTGATTGCGTATAGTGGCTGTATTATTTCCTCAACTTTTGACCCGCACGGCAAGGTTTTCCTAACCACTTTCATCTTGTTCTTATACATTTCTTCGACAATGTCGCGGCCATATCTTTTTTTGTTGATGTAAATGAACTGCAGGGTTTAATTTTTCTCATCCGCTCGATAGAGCCTCCATCGATTGAATCGAAAGAGTTTTTCAAAAGAGACTCTTTCAAAAGAATCTTTGCAACAATTTTCAATATTCTGCTACAAATTACGGCTGTAAACTATATTCAAATGATTGGTTTTGATTTATATTTTAATACTATTAAGAAAAAAACTAAAAAAATTGATTTGTTTTAAATTTTATTAAAATAATTGGTGTAAACATAACCGCCCGGGCGACGTTTTGTTCCGGCCGTCCTTCTTTTTTTTAACATTTTGTTCCGCCCGTCCTGTGTTTTCATCGCCCGGGCCCCATAAAATCGTCGGATGGGCGAAAATTTTGAAATTTTAGACACAATTCCAAACAAATATTTAGTAATTCTTCTTGCTCTTGATATAAAAAGCACGTTTCTGTCAGTTCCTCATGATGCTCTTTCAAAAGTTTGTGGATCGTATGGTTTTTCTAATAGCGCGGTTAAATTAATTAAATCAATTTATAGTAACATTTAGCAAAAAGTTAAAGTCGGTGATCAAGAGTCAAATTTTGTTCCAATTAATAATGGAGTGTTGCAAGGTAGTAATTTTGGCCAAACTTTCTTCTCTCTTTACTTTAATGATACTCTCAATGCGTTTGAAAATATGAAAGGCCATTTGTTCGCGGATGATTGTCAAGCACATATCGAAGTAGATTTTGATAAAATTAACGACGGTATCGATAAAATAAACTCTGACCTTGCCAAATTGAATGATTTTCTTAAACTTCGCGGTATGATTATAAATAGTTTAAAGTCCAAAGTAATGATTATTGGTTCAAAGCATCAAACGGGTCGGTTGAATTTTGATATGATCAATGAAGTGAAAATAGGTGAAGAAAAAATCGAATTTTGTAAGTCAATAAAGAACCTTGGTGTTATTTTTGACGAAAACTTTACTTTCCAAGAACATGACAAGTGTAAATTGCAAAAAGTGTATGGCGTGTTGAATCGCATCCGTCACACTAAACGCTTTATACCCAATTACGTCAAACGTGATATGGCTGTAGCTCTGATAGATCCCATAATGGATAATGGAAGTGTGGTAACATACGGCTGGGGCGCCCACAGCACCCAAAACCAGGTGCACCGTGATCTTGTTGCTGATAACGACAAGATTCGATACATTTACGGATTAAAACGTAATGATCATGTTACCGAATATCGTGAGCGTTTGAGTGGATTGACTCCTGAGAGCAGAGCAAAACTGCACTCAGCAGTCTTGATATTCAAGCAGTTGTCGAATTGTTCGCCTGAGTATCTAAATCACATGTTTGTTCGTAATGGTGAATCGTCGCGTTATCCAGATAATCTTAGCATAAATTTCAATCCGCGTACCGCATTTGATACTCGCGCATTTAGTTTCTCTGCAATCAATTTTTGGAATAGTATATCGGTCGAAATTAGAAATTCTAAATGTCTAATCGCGTTTAAAAATAACCTAAAGCATCTGTTACGTTCTACGCAGTAAATTTTTCGACATCTTTCAAATAGTAAATTTCTCGGACCATTGTTATGAAATTTCTTATCCAATTTAGATTAAGATTGACTTTTCATTTGATTTCTTTCATTGATGTTAACGTACTTTAAATTGCAAAAACTCATCATCATTGTATTTTTCCCTGGTTCTCCTTGGTCGTACGCTATTATCTATGTTATTGAGTTTTCATCGCTATTCATTGGTATATCGGTGTGAATTGGTCAAATAAATCGAATATTGGTTTCAATCGTGTACATTTAATGTGAATTCAACATAAAAATATAGAACAATAGAGACCGATGTACGCCGATATCCGACAATATGCAGATAAACACTTATTTTTGAAGAATAACCATACATCAGCAAATTCGTTCAAATTCACGTTCAAGTACCACGTACTTTTGGTCAACACGCTGTACATAACCTAAATTGTGTTTAGTTCATGAAACTTGATAAAGTTTAAGTGTCGCGTACTTAAGCTAGTGCCGCGTACTTAATTGCCGTAGTATTGGTCGCTAGCTTTAAATGTTCTTTAGAATTGATGCTGATATCATCAACAACAAATAAATTTCACTAGAAATGACATGATAAGTCTACTGATAAATAAGTACTTAAGTACGCGGTACTTGAGCAATAGATTAAGTACGCGTCACCTAAATATCTCTACAAATTTTAGTACGAAATATTGGTATATCGGCGAAATATTCGCATTTCGGTTAAATATTTTAAAAAGGTCATAGAATCGTTAGAGATGAATTGGATTCTGGTTGATATTCTCGTTGGTTGACGAACCAAGAAAAAAAAACTTTGCCTTGTCATAAATGTGGCTTGCGCCAGGCAAACAAACATAAATTATCCAAAGTTATCTCTATTTTAATTTTTTTCTATTCTAAGTTCAAGTATAAATACATGCGCGTATATGTACGTATATACTAGTACCTCTATATTGCAAAAAGTTAAATACAATTCAGATTCGAACAATCAACGCAACTTTAACCGCTTTAAAACACACCGCTTATATAAAACATTTTACAATGCATCCACAGGCAAAGCAAACGAAAGAAGAAAAAAGCACACATTCGCATATTTGATGAAAAAACACGTATTGTACCTTTACATATCAGCAATGGCAAGAAATGTTGAGCGGGCCAGGCGAATTTTGTCAGTTGGATTTGGATCTTTTTCTTCCATGTTTTCAAACCAAAAGAAAAAAAACTCGAGAAAACTATAAAAAAATCTGAAGCAAAAAAATGTGCGTCCGTAGTCCACTGCAGCTGAACAAATTATAAGTAATATGCCATAGAGCATCAAACATTTGTCAAACTCATTTATTGTTGTAGTTTTTAGTCAAGTACACCGCTGCACGCACTCATTGATAATGTCAATGTCAATGTCGTTTCATTCGAATAAATTGTCCTGAAACAAGGCAAAAGATATATTCGCATCTATATTTATTAGATTTGCACATTCCATTTTTTTATCTGATTTATTTTCTTTAAAGATGTTTGGGTAAAAGTCTGGGCATAGAGTGAGATCCAGATTGCTTGTACAAAATCATATTTTGACTATTTACAGTAATGCTAAGATTGTGATTGGTATTAGACTCTAATGAATATCCATCTCCATTGATTGATGGGTGTGTTGGGTTATGGATTTCAGCTCTCAATGCTTGGCACCAGTTTTTCAAGTTTAATTGTTCTTTGAAAAGTACTTTGTTTTCTCCTTTGGATTTGGGACGATCTGCAAGATAGAACATTTGCTTTAGTTTGATGCAATCAATGGAGTCTCTTGGTAAGCTCTTTGCAATGACTTTGATCATTCACACTAATTTTATGAAAGAAAACTTACGGTATCTGAACCTGGTTTCCATCCTGCTGGACACACTTCACCGTGGCTGTCTGTGTATTGGAATGCTTGAACTAAACGCAATGTTTCATCGACGCTACGACCGACCGGTAGATCATTCATCGTGATTTGTCTCAATATGCCACGATTATCAACGATGAACAAACCACGAAGAGAATGCCCTAAATCATCGAGGTAAACGCCGTAATCCTTTGCAATTTTGTGTGATATATCACTCAATAATGGAATGTTAATTTTGCCAAGTCCACCCTGCAAACAGAATAAGCAGAAATTTTATGATTTTTTGTCTTGTTTCAACGCTAAAATGAAATCAACCCGTTCACTTACTTCTTTGCGTGGCGTATTGATCCATGCCAAGTGAGTAAAGTGCGAATCGACGCTGCATGCAATCACTTCAGTGTTGATCTTCTGGAATTCCTTAATGCGATCGGAAAATGCCAAGATTTCCGTTGGACAAACAAACGTGCTGCGAAAGCAAAAAAAGCCATTATCTTTTCGTTAAAAAAATGATTCAATCAAAGGTAAACGTTACTACTTACAAATCCAGTGGATAGAAAAAGAACACTACATATTTGCCAATGTAATCGGTGAGCGATAATTGTGTGAATTCCCCGTTGACGACGGCTGTTCCTTCGAAAAGTGGAGCCGGCTTCGAGACTGAAAAGTACAACCAAATGAAATTGCGTTAAAAAAAAACGTTTTGTCGAGAGTTCATGTATTCATCAATTATTCAACAATGTACGAAGTAATTTTGTGCAATTATTTCTATCATTTTGTAATCTACTCACTGACTGCTTTAGTGTATTGCAATTGATGACCGTCCGATTTGGCACCGCTTGGATAAACATGGCTTCCAGCACCTGGACCATATGAAACACACGATTCCTCATCAGAAGACACTTGATTCGCAGACAACAAACACACCGCTATTAGTACAATGAGTTGCAGTAATTTATCCGACATGTTTTTGTGATGATTTGCCAAAAGTAAATCCCTGTTGAAACGTTGGCGTGGCAAAATCTGTTGAGATTACAAAAAATAAAATACGTAGTATCGAATTAGATACACAGATTTATCCACGTCAATAGCGTTTTTCTTTCCGGCTTTCTCACATAACGCACCGAAGAACAAAACATAATACTATTGTATTGTTTGACATAACCAAATTGCATCAGTTTGTGTGTCCGTGTGTCTATGTGTACGTGATTTGCCGATGAAATCAAAAAGTCACTTTTATCAATCGAATTAATCGTGTTTTTTTCATTGAAATTTCTCACCTTTTTTTATTCACAATTGTTTTGGAACTTCGGATAAGGAGTGAATCCTTTCTCTTGAAAAAATCACATCGAAATACTCTTGAACTGAACTAATAAGCGATAAGCACTCTGGCGGCTATTCCAGCATTTGAATTTGACATGTTGAATTCGAATCGGTTTCATACATTTTACGACCGATGTAGGATTGATTTGAAAACATATTTTTCGGCTGAGAATTTTACGAAATGACGGAAAATATGTTATTTTACCGAATAATTGAGGAAAATTGTGTTTGATGTTGTTCGAAAATATGATCAAACGATGATTGTATGTATTCATACAAATGTAATGCTTGAGAATATACCGAAAACAAAGAAAGATATCAAAAGAAGAGCCAAAAACGGCAAATTTCCATTAAACGAAATATAATGAGTGTTTGAAAATGTTTTGAATAATAATTTCTACTAATTAACTTCATCATTTCCAAAAAAAAATTATTTGAAAACCAAATTGAGCTCAACCGCTATCACCGTTGATGTCTGTGTATGTGAGTATCGTTCATGGCAACACTGAAAATTGTTGCATGTTCTACCGAGAATTGACAATTGGCTACAGCGACCCTGGCGTTTGTTTCGTGTACCTCATTTGATGTCAATCAGGAGTGCAAAATTGGTTTTGTCTTGTGTTTACACCGGCTAACATCACGATTCCCTTTGTACTTGAATATATTAACAACATTTGTACAACATCAAGTTCATTATGAGGTTTGAAGTTGTGGCATTTCTTAAGTTTGGATTCTTTGCTTCTGCACTGTTGCTGTCAACGGATTTACTATACAGTTGGTACTTGCGGCAGAAGAATCGTACTCCGCGATTGAATGAGGTGAATTTTGTGATGAGCAATGCATTGCCGTGCTGCCCGCATACAGCTGATGTTGAAGTAATCAAGAAATGCCGCAATCCACATTGCAAGGCAAAGCTCTCTCGCAAAATCATCGAGCAAATTGATTCGGCTAAACATCTCATTTGCATTGCTATGTAAGTGTCCATTTGAAATGACATCATCTTTGCATTGTTTTTCCGAATCGAATAATTTTTTGTGGATTTTCAAGGTACATGTTCACAATGAGGCACATGGCCGATGCAATAATGAATGCAAAGAAACGTGGTGTTCATATTCGCATAATTACGGATTTCTCCATGACCAACGATCACTCGCAAATTAATAAACTCCAAGGAGACGGTAAGCTACGACCAAGCTATCTACAACAGCTATTAAACTAACTAATTAAACACGATGATTACGTGGAGTCGATTTATTTTTCTGGTAATTATTGGGCTAACAAATTTGGTGTATTTCACAGGTATCGCAATACGAATTGCAGGCAACGGTGATTTATATATGCATAACAAGTATTGCTTGATCGATGTTCTGACTGGCGAAACCAAATTCAAAGAAAATACTCATCCATTGAACGGTGTACTCATCAACGGCTCCATGAACTGGACAACTAATGTAAGAATGATTGCGACCTTTGCGAATAACCATATCGGAAAATTCATTTCATTTTGTCTTTTTCTAGGGTTTCGAACGAAATTGGGAGAATATCATTTTCACATCTGACGACCATTTGAAATCCGAATTCAAAAGATCATTTGATTATATTTGGTCCCGTTGTGCATGAGGAACTGATGTGATTCCAAAATAAAGTTAGATTAGATTACCATATTTTTTGAAAACATATAATTGCATCTCTTCTAGATAGAATAGATACGATATTGCTATACTTAAACTCTCAATTTTTTTCTGCAATTTTACATATTTCAGAATTTCCAATTGATTTGTTAGCCAAAAATTATGCACTATCGTTTTCTTTAATTTTATAACTATAAAATAACAAAGAAGAAATGCTTGCTATTAAAATCGAAATTTCAATTTAAAAAAAAGGTGATTTCTGTGTATGCAAAACCGCTATAGCAGCGCTGCAGTGGTTATCTTATGTGTTAGACTTTTATTTCTTTTGAATGACGCTGACGTATTCCACTTCTTAGTTCTTCATTTGCCGCTTCTTTGGTGCATTCATCAACTTCAATCGTTTTTAGTTCCAAGTTAGCATTGTTAAGTTCCGAATGTCATTTTTTGGTTAACAAGACCAAAGTGGGCAGTGGCTCTGTGCAATAAAGTGATAAATCATAAACGAAGTAGTGTTTGTGATGAGCGATAGATTACCATGTTGTCCCCATTCGGTGGCTGTGGAAATCATAAAGAAATGCCGGAAACCGCATTGCAAAGCCAAGATATCACTAAAGATCGTTGAGCAAATTGATTCGGCAAAACATCTCATTTGCGTTGCAATGTACGTTTTTTTCAGTAAATAATCCTTGATCAACTGTGTACTATTCTTGATTTCTGTTAAAGGTATCTTTTTACCTGGAAGAATATTGCCGATGCCTTATTAAGAGCAAGAAAACGAGAAGTAATTGTGCGGGTGGTTTTGAATAAAACAAAATCGAAATTAGCTCAAAGACAGATATATAGGATGCGCGTCACTGGTGAGTTGATACACCGCGACTCGATCTATGGATGATTTTTATTATTCATATCTTACAAACAATGTTCACATTGAACAACTCCTTTCAGGAATATATGTCAAGATCACAAAGGATGTCGGAAAGAATCTAATGCACAATACGTGTTACGTTATAGATGTTTTACGTGATGAAAAATCTCTTCTGGTCAATAGACATCCATTGAACGGCGTCCTTATTAATGGTTCCATGAATTGGTCTATGAGCGTATGTACGAAATATGGAAATTTAAATAAGAATATTGCTGGTAACGGTGTTTGTTTCAGGGGCTTAATTTGAATTGGGAAAATATTCAATTTACTTCCGACGATCATTTGAAAACTCAATACAAGATGACATTCGACTATATTTGGGATAGAATCGAATAAGAATTTACGGGATTTAAATAGTATGAATAAGAGTTTTATATCACATAGACTCATTTCTAAAAACCCAATGAGGAAAACGTTACAGTTGTACAAATTTTGTGCACAGCTTATGGAGAAAATACATTGGCCGTGTACGAAATGTATACAACTGTAACGTTTTCCTCATTGGGAAAAATGGATGGTCTTGGTCGTTGCAATTACATTACATTGTGAAAAGTACACTGAAGTAAGTATATCAACACTGAGTTTGTGAATGTGAGTGAATGGTTTGTATCTTTGCTAAATGCCGCTACATGTATTGATAAATAAATGAAGCAAATTTAAAAACTGTTCAAGAATCGCATTAAAATTGCATTTTCGTAACTGGATCACAAAATTGAACATTAAAACTACCCATTGAACTGTATAATTCTGCCGCTAACGCTTCAAGCAAATGGGAAGTGAATACAATTCGAACGACATTTGTGCAAAACAGTCGGAAATTTTTACCTCAAACAGAAGGTAAAAGTTGTAATAACCATAATTATTATCTGAAAACAAAAATACGAATTAAACAAAAAAAGGCGAAAAAAATTCGAATTGTGTAAAAATAATTGTAGTTGTACTCGTTGATGATGGAGAAGAAGAAGAGGTAAGTCGAATGGATGATCCTTGTTAACGTCGTCAAAGTGTATCAAGCCAGCACGAATGTAGTGAATGCAAAACAAAAGGCAAACCAAAACACGCCGAAATACGAAACTGACGAAAAGCCACGAGAGATAAAGATATTTCTGAAACAAGAGCAAGAGCGAAAAACAGCAAAACAGCAACACACACTCACAAAACGAAAGAGTAACAGCTAGCAGCAGCAGCAGCAGCAGCAGCAGCAGTATTCATTGAGTCAAGCACACACATAAACCACCTGTCGCAGTGTTTTTTCCCTCTTTTCTGATTACACACAAAACATTACGATAATTTATAGAGTAGTTTTGTAGCGTTGATCTGTATGCCATACAAGATCGGCTGAGCCACACTCAGTCTGATAGTTGGATATTGGCGCTTTAAGCACCTGCTTAATTAAAAACAGATTTTGTAAATGTGTGTGCCCGTGTGGTGCGCACCGCGCCACGTTGCCTCACATTTGTTGTAGCTGTTATTTGTTGCCGAATTGCTACCTTATCTCTGTTCTCCTCCATTTTGTGACGCTTTGTTGTTTGGTGTTTTGTCCTCGGCTGCAATCATCTTCGCCCCCATTGATCGATCGCACTTTCCAAGCTGAATTACGACTAGGTATGCTTGAGTTGATGGTTCACGCACATCAACATTTGTTGATTTGCCGGTGTTTACCTTTATTCTTTCCTGTGTATGTGTGTTGTGGTGTCTGCCACACCAGCACACGAAACGCAAAACGATGATGATATTCTTTGAAATTACCACACAATGGCCATTTTTCCATTCGCTTATTATTCATGTGAATATCAACAACTCTTAATTCATGTCTCGTGACTTTTCGTACTCTTTTGGCTGCTTTGAACCTGTACACCAGTGTGATATTATTACGGCATCGAAATTTATAATTTTCATATTTTTGTTCTGTGTTTTTTTTTTCTCTTCCTCTTTATTTTGTGGTGGTGTTGTTGTTGTTGCTATTTTTGCCTCACTCTATTTCACTCGTTCAATTCATTTGCAAAATATATAAACACATGATTGCTCGCTGACCAATGGCGATGATGAATTACAGCAATCAATATTCAAGAACTGGGACAAAAGGCTAATGCATCGGAAACTGCGGTTTCACCAAATTGGTTGTGTTTGAGTGTTTTTTTTTCTGTCTACTTACTGCCTCTATGTCGGTGTTTGTCGTCAAACGGGCTCGTTTAATGATCGTGATATAAATCTTCTGTTGCCTATTTTTTATTGGTCAGTAAAAAGTACCAACGAAAAAGAGTACCAACACGATTGCTGTCATCCCTCTTCGAAATTGGACAATTTTTTTTATGGCTTTATTACCTTTCAGCAAAATTTCCTTGGAAAAAAAAGAAAATAAAAAAACACAAAATAATAGCTCCTGTCTTTTTATTGCCGAAAAAAAATGTTTGGCATGCCGTTGTTTCGGGACTCAAGCACTCATAAAACAACAGTGTTTCAAGCGAATTGAAGCGAAAGTAATCGACCCATCTACCCGGTAATACAAGAAATCGTTGTGGAGAGAGAAAACAAACAGCCTCACATTTTGTTTGGCTAATTAAAGGCAAATATTTGCTCAATCAATTGAAATAAAACATGCCTAATTATCCGAGATCGATTTGCTTTCTGAATTGATGGTCTATAAACGTAAACAAAAGTATCCAACCAGACGATTCCAGGGAAATTCATGAATGCATACATTTTTGTTCTGCTTGTTGTTGCATTATTAGCACTTTATTAGATTCCTGGATAAATCGATCAGCTCATTGATCAATTTCAAGCAATTGCTTTACACTCAATTACATCCGATGCTCTCTCTCTCGGGTGCATTTTCCCAATTGCGAGCGCTGTGCAAATTGATTCATGTCGAAAGACAGACAGAAGAAGTAGAAAAAATTACCTCATTTCTTTGGAATATCTAATTGGCCTACCCTTTTTTTTTTCTTCAATTTGACATTCGTTCCGGTTTTTCCATTGATTCCAAATCGGGTAGAATTGCCGTATATTCGCACTCAATTCAAATCATCGATACCTAACCGATTTCTTTTCACATATTCAAGGATATTTGTTTTTGATTGTGTGCGATCTCGTTCCTCTCATTTAATTTCAATAGGCCGGAAAAAACAAAGATCGCTCACAAAATATGAATGAGCAAGCAAGCGAGAAAAAAAAATCATTTCTTATTCACAATTTTTAGACGCACAGACAAAAGACAATTCGACTGTGGCAGTAAATAAGAAAAGGGTACAGATGTCAACAGGAAGAAAAGGATTATGCGCATACAGAAAGAAAAACCGGAGCGTGCACAAAACGACATGCAGAGATAAAGCGAGTGAGCGAATGAAATCTAGAAAAAATAGTGTAACAAGTTGATATGGAAGTGAAAGATTTAAAATCACATTTGAATTGGCAAAAAAAAGAAATGAAGGGGAAAAATTATGCTCGGAACGTCTAAAATAAACGAAAATCTGTGACATGAATAGACACGTATCGGTCGGGATGTTGCACATGTGAAGCATGTGAAAAAACACAATCACAACTGAAGTGAACTCATCGTCACGACGATCCATGGGATAATTTATTCAAAACAATATTTTTATGTCAAAATAATAAGGCTTAAGACCAAAAGCATTCGGTAAAGTAGTAAATGAGTATCGAATAGTCATTCGGTTAAGTTAACAAGATCAATGTGAACGAACATACCCAACAAAAACCGAGAGACATGTGAAAGAAATTGGAACACGAAAAGAAATGTTGACGTTGTCTTTGTATGCAATTCGATTTTTTTTAGGGTTTGTTGCTTTCTTTCTTTCTCTGTCAATGTTGTTTTTTGCAAGGAACTATTTATCCAAATTCTATAACTGGAACAAAATTACGGCGCTCGTAAATCTTGGCATTAGTGATGGCAACGACGTTTCGCAACCAATCAATAGTATTAAAGCCAAATAAATACAACACAAAATCCATTATGGCATTAACAAATCATTGCTTCATTAATCTACCGAGAAAAGGTGTGAGTAAGAGAGATTAGAGCAACATACAGCCCTCCCATGGCTGGCCCACTGACGACCTATCGACCATCGACTCGATTGTTTGAGTTTGGTTCGCATTTCCGGTTTCGATCGTAAAAATATCTGCACAAACGATTGCATCAACGTTTATATTAATGTGTAACAATTTTTCACTTTTCATTCGGTCCAATTTTTCACGGGCAAAATGGAACTGGGCTCGTCTGTCGGCGCAATTAACACGGTTTTTAACAACACACACACACAAAACCAAAAGCAACAGAAGCATCGGCGGAACTGCCTATGCCATAGCATA